CAGCAGTCCTCATGGCAGAAGAAGAGGTCTTTCAGAGGCCATGGTACTATTACTTATGATAGATTTGGGAACAGGACCCTTTTCCCTACCCCTACCTTCCCTCAATATTGTCTTGGAATTAGTATATGACATTGATAATGGTGGGTTTCTTTTTTTTTAAATTGAAATTTGGGATATGAATGGTTGTGTATTGTGTAGACAAACACAAATGTATGCAGCAAAAGTGGGCGTTTGTGTTCCAAAATGGGTTGGTGCTTGGTGGATTTACTAATGTAATGTTATTTTGTTCAGCTTTAAGAAACTGCACAGTGCTAACACATTTGCATAACACACAGTAGACTGAACACAATCGAAATATGATAACCATAAACAACAATCTCACACTAGGATAAATTAACTAGGCTATCTCTACCACTCAAAGTTTGTGTGAGTGCCAATGTGGCATAACTAGGCAAGGGGAACTCTCTCTCTCTCTCTCTCTCGTTAACAGTTCTAGTAAACTGTAGGAGGTATGTAGGTGTCTATACGGTTGTTCTTGTGAAACTTGAATATATTTATCAAGCTAAACAAGGGTTTCCCTGAAATACAGTTCTAGATTTCAATGCAATACAAATAATGGGAGGAGATTTATCAAGGCAAAAGACTAACTCTAAACATTTTGTAACATCATTAGTTTCAAGTCATCTTACAATTTCTAAATTATCAGGGAGGTCGATCTTTATACTCGTTTTTAAGTCCATATCCAAAAACATTTATTATTTATTACGATTGATTAGATGAGTTCAAATATCTGAAAATAGATGCGACCCATTGTTTGTAACACCGTGACATAGTTACATAGGCTGAAAAGAGACATGTGTCCATCAAGTTCAGCCTTCCTCACATTTGTTTTTTGATGTTGATCCGAAAGAAGGCAAAAAAAAAAAAAAAGTTTGAAGCACTTCCAATTTTGCAACAAACTAGGAAAAAAATCCTTCTGAACCCCAGAATGGCAGTCAGATTTATCCTTGGATCAAGACGCTATTACCCTACAATTTACATTTTTCCTTTCCTTTGCCTTAGACTAAATCTCGTTTCTTCCAGTCTAAATGAGTGACCTCCTGTCCTATGTATAGTCCTATTTGTGAACTGATTTCTAGACAGTGCTTTGTATTGGTCCCGGATATATATTTATAATGTTATCATATCCATTCTGAGGCAACAGTTTTCTAAACTGGAGAGGTTTAAATTTGTTAAACTTTCTTCATAACTAAAATTATCAATTTCTTTTATGAATTTTATTAAAACATGATTATTCATTTTCTGTCTTTCTTTCTTTCTTTCTTTCATTCTTTCCCACAAACATTTTGTTCTGAGATTCTAACATGCTCCCCATGTTTAGAAACTGAAATTTCAGTCAATCACCTGATGGGACCAAATATGGACAAACAGCATTCTGGACAAAAATAAATCTCCAAGTTTATTATTTTGATCATGTTTATTGAAGTGCAATTGTAAATGTGATCTCAAAGTGTTGGTATTTTTTATAGTAAATTTCGCAAGTGTACACAGAATGTTTAATTTCAGAAGATGCCAAATTTGAAATGGCGGAAAAAAGATAAGTGACACAGAATGATTTTCTGTTGGAAAAAGCCATCAGATTTCATAAATTTCACTAACAACTAGATATTAAAATGTAGGTGACACTTTGATAAATCTCCCTCTCTATGTTTCCATTATTGCTCTCACGACTGTGTTTTAGACTTCTTCCACTCATTCTACACATTTTTTCTCTCTCTGTATTTTCTGTATCTCTTGATATGTTACATTTTCCTTATGTAATATTTAACTTGTGCTAATTACTTTGATATAATTACTTTGTGCTTTACTGCATGTACCGAAACAGTTTTTAAACATTAGGGAAAAAAACCAAACCCACACGCATCTGTGAATACAAATGCCAACAGAGGTCGCAAGATATTTCTCATCTAATTACCATGAAAAGAAGCAATAGGACACCACTGAAACCACTTAATATAAACTTTAGGAAGTTTAAATCTACCTCAATATTCTCGTTATGATCACAATTCACCAATATGTCCATTTGTGACTGAGATCAATATACGCCTAAAGAATACATCCTAACATGTGTTCTCTCTATAGAATGTCTCCTGTCCTTCACCTGATGGGATTGATTTACAAGTCAGTGCACGCGGCAGGTATGCGTTAATTTTATTATTTGTAAGTTACAAAGCAGATTATATTGAAATCACATTGGTTTATTCTAATTAAACACCTGTTTGTAGCTGTCAATATACTGCACTCTGACAATTTTTAGTTGATGCAGTTGTCCCTGTGTTGGGATTCTAATAAGTAAAAATTTTAAAATACCAATTCACGTCTTAGAAGTAGGATGTCTTCAAACCCTACATGTATGGCAACAGACACATGCTGTGTACATTGCAGGCAACCACCCTTGTGTAACTTCTATGTGAACACGTTGCTACACAGTGCAGCAATAACATGACAAATATTGCAACCACATTCTGTGTCTTTGTTTAAACAGATATAGATTTCACAGACTGCTTATAAAAGTATTTAAAAATATGAATAGGAAGGGGCACCATGAATTGTATACAATCTGTACAATTTAATATTACAATGTGACAGTCTAGAGATAATGTTTGTTTTTTTAGAGCCTGAATGTTACATTCTAATGACTGGGGAACTTGACTTAATGCAACTTAACAATAAGTGATTGTTTAATTCTGGTGTAACTACCTCCAAGTTTGGTTATATTTATATATGGGTTAATATTGAATCAGCATGTATTGTTTATTTTTTTGTTTTGTGTTTTATTCTATGTCTGTCTGCTTGTATCTCCAGGTTATTGTGCAGAATGATGTGAAATGTTGATCTGTCTATTATTTAACATGTTTCTGATTTCAGATGTCGTATCTGTTGTCGCTGGTTCTATTGGCATTCTACATTGTGCACATGATCCAGGAGATACATTTATAATGATCACATGGCGAGTCCATCCTCTGTATAAAGCTCCCTGCTACATGTCTCTGTTAGGCAGTCACATTCTCAATACCTGCACAGAGAGAGCAACGCAGGACAATATGACGCTGAGAATATTGAATGCTGAAATAACCGACTCAGGGCTTTACACCTGTGAAGTGGTGACTGACGAGGGGAAATTCCCAAGTAGCGTTCTATTACAAGTATTAGGTACAAAATAATATCTGCTGGTTACTGAAATATGTTAATGGAATAAAATGCTTTACATGTAGTTCTAATAATAGTGTCTGAAAATCAAAGTTCATGGTTTAAAAAATATTCTTATGTTCAATCAATAAACTTAATATTATCTACCAACTGCTGGGAGTGAAGGAAATGTACAAAGCTACACGTGGAACTTCACTATTGTCAGAATGTTGTCACACCAAATGCGGCACAACCATCCGACTGTAAACCACGAGGACTGCAACATCCGGACGTTGCTGGCTGTCAGAGTGCTCTGATTGGTTAGCTTTATTTTGTGGCATATCCTCAACTGCTGGCTATTGGTGGGGACAAGGGGGCGTACAGTGATCCATTATTTATTTAAAATTCCCCCAACCTGATGCTAGGGTGGGAACATTTAGATGGACTAAGTCGTCCTCCTCTTTATTTCACAGTCCCCATTTGATGAGGCCTTTTTAGTGAATGGACAGCAATGGCTGCCCACTCGTTAGTCTTAGCATTAAGTAGACATATCCTCAAACAAAACCCCACTTACAGTAATATGGGGGGCTTACTGACCACCACATGCTGTTTATTTATTTTATTATATTTTATTATGGATGCTGGCTAGAAGTCACATAATTAAACTGCATTATCTTCATACGAGATGGTGGGATAGACAGTTTTTTCCAATGTTGTTGGCGTCTCGTCTGTGTTCACTGACCCATAGTGCTAAAGCCTTTTGCAGCTGGAAACAATATTATTGGCTCTAGCTCGTCATTATCATTTGAGGGACCAGTCTGCCTTGCTGCCCTCGTCTTGGAAAACATTCTTGTCCGCATTCTTGTGTTGCTATTGCTAATTGCTTTAAGGCAAAGATTGTGTTTTTTTTTTGTTTTGTTTTTTTACTTATTTTTAAAAAATGTATGCCCCTGTAAAACAGCTAATAAACCGCATCATTACAGGGCTAATCCCCCATGCCCTAAACTGACATCTGATACTACCAGTGCCTTCTTTGCTGGTAAACACTTTACATTGGAGAATAAATCTCCACTAGTTAAACTATTGAAAAAATATTTATTCTGCCTCTAATATATTCAATTTCACTAGCTGGCTCAATTTGTTTCAGACCAGTAGTAAGACTCAGAGGTCTAGTGAGCGGAGGCAGTTAGGGGCATATGCCACCGGAGGCAGCTGTCCCTGAGGTGCCGCCAGATGCTCTGATGTGCAACCACGGACTGGTCTACCAGAAGATTTCACAGTAGACTGTCCAAAAATGCTCTTTACTCCTATGGACGGTGAGAAAGGTAGAGGAACGGCAGGACCCAGCCACTCTTTGTAATGCATAGAGCTAAAAACTGCCAGGATACATCATGGCATCATGTCTCAGCAGCTAACGCTCTGTCCAGGCGAATAGTGCAGACCGGATTGGCATTAGTCATACAGCAGTTGGGGCATATAGAGGTTTACAATCTCTTTTATAGCAATATGGACGTCTCATTGACCGCCCATCAGATTTTTATCTTATTTATTTATTATTGAAAGTTAAAAAAACAAAAAAAACTTTTTTTAATGTGACGGCTGTCTATCAAGCGCTAGTAAATATGAGATTTGCCTATACACTCAGATTTGGTTATTTTCACCAGGTTTTGTCCATTCGGGCAAAATCCAGTGTTTAGTGAATAAACCTGATGGAGTTTTCACTGCCAGACTTGTGTCAGTAGGTCCAGGATCTAGAATATGTTTCAGTTATCGCACCATTTATTTTCCCAGTCCCTCCTTCCGTGTCTCTGATGATAAACAGAGATGGATCTCCTGAGTGCCGGGCTGTTGGTGGGAATCCAGCAGCTGATATTTCCTGGATTCCGGAATCAGATAATGTCACTACTAGAAGGGGAATGGAGTCGGACAATACTTGGACAGTTATTAGTACATACAGCGAACACGGAATCAGTGGGAGAGAAGTGAAATGTAAAGTTTCTCATCCTGCATTTACTCATCCTCAGATAATGTCCGTTCTAATACCTGGTAAGATTACAGTTTTTCATTTGTTTGTTTTCCTAGAATGTAAATGCACTTCACCTAGAAATATATACAGACTATTTACAGACAATTTTTTAATTAATTAACAACTTTACTACCAAGCAGTTCATGTTTTACAAATATTAGTAAATCTAGATGTGATACACTGATGATTGGTTTGTAATAGTAAAAGTGATATTTTCATTTTACTGATCAGCGACTACAACATGCATCAGTAATGATACTCATATTGCAAACACCTGTGTCTTTGTTTAAACAGATATAGATTTAACAGACTGCTTAATTAAAAATATTTAAGTGTCAATTAATTAAATCGGCTGCTCACACTTTCCAATCGTGTGGATTTCCCAAACACACTAAAAGCTCAAAAGTGACCCAAGGAATAAACAAGCAGTGGAACACTATTGTGATAACCAATTGGTGAATACACAAATACCTTAATTAACTTGACAACTTTCATTTTTTTTTCTGTTATCCAATTTTGGACCTATATACCTCCATTAAATGCTCCTTGACTCTTGTCAGCTGTATGGTGGTATGGTCCTTAAACATGCAAACTTCATATTCTGTGACAATTTATAGGCTCTAAATTTGTGAGTGTTTATGTTACGACACGTACCGTCGGGTAGATGAAGCCGCCGTTTAGGCAATAATCCCCTTCTCCAGAAATGCAGTTTAAATCCAGCCGATCGCCAAACTCCCGAACGAAGTCCGCGAACACGGCAACTCCCGATCAGCCAAACAGTCGAACGCCTTCCACAGCTAGAAATAACGAAAACGCTGTCCCAATAATAATTCCCCCCACAAACGAGACCAAGCTCCGTCTTGAGGGTCAAATGAAGATCTGTTTAATGGGGGCTACCTGCCCGGTATTTATGCAGGTCTCCACAAGGTGGACACTCCCCGAGGGGACCTTGTGGAAGACTGTAACACATATTGGACAGTAGCCAATCGCAGTGGCTTCAATAATAGCCCTTCCCATCTTGCCCATAATTCCGTCTTCTTTACCTTGGAGATAATTGGGGAAGAAACCTAATTATCTCCCAAGGTAGAGACCATCGCCATCTTAAATTACAGTAACAAAAAGACATTAAAATACATAACTACAGAAATACCGAATGCATATGGTTCGTGTAACGTATCCCCAGACAGCCTGGATCTGAGGGCATGTTTTCACCGAATAGCGCTCAGATCCGATGTATCTAGTCGAATCGCCATGGAGTCAAAGTCGTTCACCAGTCCTTCGGTATACGAATGACTCCATGGGATGGCTGTCGGGGTAAAAGTCCATACGGATGAATAAAACTCCCGAACGACCGACGTTCGCATGCCTTGTCGAAAAGGAAGGTAGGCAGCAGCTTTTCAGCGGTGTTCGGTAGTTTAAGTGTCCGTTTTTAGTTCCATACAGTTTGTACCGAACACCGCTCTGTGTTCGTATGTCCCAAAATGGCCGCTGCCTCGTGGTCGACATGCGAACGACGACCACCCGTACGAATGGAATGGAGAGGTGTCTGCGGTTAACCACAACGTTCTAATTGGGGCCAAGAGGTTAACCAGCAGCACACTCCTCTCCTGGGTGGTCGTTCGTTCGGTAGTTTCAATCGGCATTTTGCAAATACACGAACGGGGGTATATGAACAGGCAATTCCGCGAACAAAGGGAAACAGACGAACCAACAATGCAGATGAATCTGTCACACGGCTCCCCCCTTGTGGGACACTCCGGCAGACCCGGCTTGACCCTTTAGCGGGTCAACGTGGGGATGACCGGACTAAGATGGGGTGAGGATGTCGGTTTGCCTGGACAATCCATCTGCGTTCCCATTCTGCTTACCGGGTCGATAAGTGATGGTGAAGTTATATGGCTGTAGTGCTAAACTCCACCTCAGCAGTCTGCCATTGTCTCCAGAGACCCGGTTAAGCCAGACAAGGGGATTGTGGTCCGTCACAAGGTAAAATTCCTGTCCATATAAATACGGGCTTAGCTTCTTCAATGCCCACACCAGGGCCAAACATTCCTTCTCCACTGCCGCATAACTCACTTCTCTGGGTAACAACTTTCTGCTGAGATATGCGACAGGGTGCTCTCCTCCATCTTCCCCGACCTGGCTCAGCACAGCCCCCAGTCCATACATGGAAGCATCTGTATGGACGAGAAAACGTTTGTTAGGGACTGGGGCAGCCAGGACAGGGGCATTCACAAGAGCTTGTTTGAGTGCTTGGAACGCAGCTTCACAAGCCGGAGACCACAGGACCTGCTTAGGAAGATTTTTCTTGGTCAAGTCAGTCAGGGGTTTAGCAATAGAGCTGTAGTCGGGGACGAAGCGTCTATAGTACCCTGCTGTCCCTAGGAAGGCTAACACCTGGGTCTTGGTGATAGGTGTGGGCCAGTTGGCAACTGCCTCTATCTTGGCTGGCTCTGGCCTCTGGCTCCCACACCCTACTCTGTGACCCAGGTACTGCACTTCAGCCATGCCTAAATGGCACTTCTCTGGCTTCAATGTCAGGCCAGCGGCCCAAATTTTGTCCAGTACTACCCCTACATGTACCAGGTGTTCCTCCCAGGACTCACTGTAGATCGCAATGTCATCCAGGTATGCACAAGCAAATTCCTGGAATCCATCAAGAAGTCTATCCACCATGCGCTGGAAGGTAGCCGGGGCATTCTTCATCCCAAATGGCATGACCTTAAATTGGTACAGGCCAAATGGGGTGACGAAGGCCGACTTGGGGATAGCATCCTCGGCCAGGGGAATCTGCCAGTAGCCTTTGCACAGGTCTATGGTGGTCAGATAGCGTCCCCTGGCAATGCGATCTAGCAATTCGTCTACCCGGGGCATCGGGTAGGCGTCAGTGGTGGTCCGCTCATTGAGACGCCTGTAGTCCACACAGAACCGGGTGGTCCCATCCTTCTTGGGCACCAGGACTACAGGCGAGGCCCAAGGGCTATCGGAGTGTTCGATGACCCCCAGCTGGGTCATCTCCTGTATCTCCTTCCGCATTCCTTCCCGGACTGCTTCAGGGATACGGTAAGGGGGTTGTCGCAGAGGGTTCTGTCCAGGGGTTTCTACCTTGTGTACAGCTAGGGTAGTGTAACCAGGTTCTTGGGAGAAGGTCGCCTGCTTTTCCCACAAAAGCTGTCTTGCCTGGCCCTTCTCGGTAGCGCTCAATCTGTCCCCTAGCTGTACTAGGCTAGTAAGATCCGTCTGGGGGTCCCTCTCTAACAGGTCTGGCAAGGGTAAACTTTCTGTATCATCTGCAGCAGGGGCACATACTGCAGCGACATTCTCCGGTCTCTCCTGATACTCCTTTAGCATGTTCACATGGAAGGATCGCTGGATCCTTTCATCTGAACAGCTGGCTATAAGGTAGGTAGTATCACATATCTGTGCTAACACCTTATACGGGCCCTGCCAAGATGCCTGCATCTTGTTCGCCTTCACAGGTTTGAGCACTAGTACTTTCTGCCCAACCTGGAAAACTCGCTGTCGGGCACCCCGATCGTACCACCTCCTCTGTCTCCCCTGAGCCACCTGGAGATTCTCCCTTACCATTAGGGACAGTTTCTCCATGCGGTCCCGGAGTTCCAGAACATATGGTACTATGGGGGTCCCTTCCTGCTCTGTTTCCCCCTCCCAGTGGCCTCTAATGAGATCTAGGGGTCCGCGGACCCTTCTCCCATATAGCAACTCAAAGGGGGAGAACCCAGTAGATTCCTGGGGCACCTCTCTGTAGGAATCTACATATCTGGCCAAAAGGGCATCTTTCACTGCCCTGTAGCTGGTAAGTTCCTCCTCTGGGATGGCCCGAAACGCCTCACTGGCCCGGCCGGATAACTTCCCAGAGAGGATGGGGACCCATTCTCCTGCGGGTACCTGGTGTAAGGCACATTGCCTTTCAAAATCCACCAGGAACCCATCGATTTCTCCTTCGGCTTCTACAAAGTTCCGAAATGCAGCAAAAGGTACTTTTCTCCTTCCATTATTATTATTATAAGGTACCTCAGCTGCTGCAGCGCCTCTTCCTTGAAGCGCCTGTTGTGCTGCTACTGCTGCTTTCACTTGCACCACAATATCTGCTGCGGGGTTGGGGCCAAAATGTGCCAGCCTGATCTGAACTGCCCGGTTAAACTGTATCTCCTCGGGTGTTAACTCCAGTATGCCAGGCACATTCGCTCCCCCCGCTCCCTGTGCTGCATCCATTTCCAATAGTATCGAAATAATCTCTCTTTTCTTGAGATTACTCGCTGATCGTCCTCTGCGTTCCAATATATCTTTAAGGGTAGCACGCCTTAACTCCTCATACTGCATTTCCAACCTGGGATGTGTAGCTGGCCTTCTGGGCTGTAGGATTCATCCCGTCGCTTGCCACCAATTGTTACGACACGTACCGTCGGGTAGATGAAGCCGCCGTTTAGGCAATAATCCCCTTCTCCAGAAATGCAGTTTAAATCCAGCCGATCGCCAAACTCCCGAACGAAGTCCGCGAACACGGCAACTCCCGATCAGCCAAACAGTCGAACGCCTTCCACAGCTAGAAATAACGAAAACGCTGTCCCAATAATAATTCCCCACAAGACCAAGCTCCGTCTTGAGGGTCAAATGAAGATCTGTTTAATGGGGGCTACCTGCCCGGTATTTATGCAGGTCTCCACAAGGTGGACACTCCCCGAGGGGACCTTGTGGAAGACTGTAACACATATTGGACAGTAGCCAATCGCAGTGGCTTCAATAATAGCCCTTCCCATCTTGCCCATAATTCCGTCTTCTTTACCTTGGAGATAATTGGGGAAGAAACCTAATTATCTCCCAAGGTAGAGACCATCGCCATCTTAAATTACAGTAACAAAAAGACATTAAAATACATAACTACAGAAATACCGAATGCATATGGTTCGTGTAACGTATCCCCAGACAGCCTGGATCTGAGGGCATGTTTTCACCGAATAGCGCTCAGATCCGATGTATCTAGTCGAATCACCATGGAGTCAAAGTCTTTCACCAGTCCTTCGGTATACGAATGACTCCATGGGATGGCTGTCGGGGTAAAAGTCCATACGAATGAATAAAACTCCCGAACGACCGACGTTCGCATGCCTTGTCGAAAAGGAAGGTAGGCAGCAGCTTTTCAGCGGTGTTCGGTAGTTTAAGTGTCCGTTTTTAGTTCCATACAATTTGTACCGAACACCGCTATGTGTTCGTGTGTCCCAAAATGGCCGCTGCCTCGTGGTCGACATGCGAACGACGACCACCCGTACGAATGGAATGGAGAGGTGTCTGCGGTTAACCACAACGTTCTAATTGGGGCCAAGAGGTTAACCAGCAGCACACTCCTCTCCTGGGTGGCCGTTCGTTCGGTAGTTTCAATCGGCATTTTGCAAATACACGAACGGGGGTATATGAACAGGCAATTCCGCGAACAAAGGGAAACAGACGAACCAACAATGCAGATGAATCTGTCACAGTTTATTAGGGGTAGGGTTAGGCCCTTCGGTTTGGTTCGGCACTTCCGAAATTTAGCACTTTGGGAATTTGGTTCGGCACTTCCGAAATTCGACACTTCAATAATTCATCAATTTGGCAACTCGGAAGCATCCGAATGTCTGAATTGCCGAAATTCTGAATTGCAAATGTCTAATTTTTAATCTAAGTGTAACTACCTCCTGGTTTGGTTTGTTTGTCTGTTTATGTCTCCAAATTATTGTGCAGAATGATGTGAAATGTTTATCTGATTTAACATGTTTCTGTTTTCAGATGTCGTTGTGTCTGTTGTCGCTGGTTCTATTGGCATTCTACATTGTGCACATGATCCCGGAGATACATTTATAATGATCACATGGCGAATCCATCCTCTGTATAAAGATCCCTGCTACATGTCACTCTTAGACAGTCACACCCTCAAAACCTGCACAGAGAGAGCAATACAGGACAAGATGTCGCTGAGAATATTGAATACTGAGATAACCGATACTGGGATATACACCTGTGAAGTGGTAACTGACGAGGGGAAATTCCCAAGCAGCGTTCTGTTACAAGTAATAGGTAAGAAATAACTTATTATAAATACTGAATTATTAATAACTTTTACTAATACTAAATTATAAATAACTACTATTAGTTACTTAATAACTCCTACTAGTTCTTGAATCATTAATAACTTTGACTAGTTACTAAATAATACATAACTTCTACTAATTGCTGAATAATAAATAATGTTTAATAATCCTCTAGTGGATAGGTTCCTTAGCAACACCCACTAAAAAAAAGCCATGTACTTACCAAGCCCTAATAATAGTGAGGGGGGACATCTGTTAAAATATATATACTTACCATCAGAAATCTTCTTTCTTAAAATTCTTCAACCCCCAAAGAAGACCAAATAAATAAAAAAAATGTCATTACCCTCCTTTATTGAATTAATTAGAGCCCCCACCCATCACCCATGGTTGGGGCAATGGAGGGCACTAGGTCCTCCCCTGCACATTATGATTAGGGTCCCCACCTACCACAAATGGGTGGGAGCTAGGGGGAGAACATTAGGTCATCTCCCTGATCATTGGCAATCTCATGTCCCCCCTTATTAATAGCTCACATCTGAGGGCCATACGTGGGGGAATAGTCATTACCAAATGCCACTTAATTATACAATAGCCCTCTCCTGCCTGCCATGGTTGGATTGTGGGTGTGGCGTAATCGAGCATGTCCTCCATTTACATATTAAATGCCTGGACCTGCTACCATGGGTGGGAGCATAGGATGTGTCTCAGTGGCGTGGCCTACTGGCAGTGACCCTCCTCCCACCTTCTGAAACCTGACAGCGATCCTGCTCTGCTAGCCAGGTCTCGTCCATACGGTGCAGTGAGTTAGAGAAAGAGGCGGGGTCGGAAGATGGAAGTGAGGTCACTTCCTGTGCTCTCCTGTCCTGTAGTTTGCTGGCAGAGACACCATGTATTTTCTCCCCCCTCCCCGCTCAGATCCCCTTTCTCCCTTCACAGACCCCTCCTCTTCCTGCACTCAGACCCCCTCTCTCCCCTGTATAGACCCCCTCTCTCCCTTGTATAGACCCCCTCTATCCCCTCTAAAGATCCCCTTCCCAGTATAGTCCACCTCTCTCCCCTGTATAGCCCCCCTCTCTCCCTTG